ATGGATGACAAGAACACTCTCTTGAAAACACTTAGTTTTCTCTCAAAATAATATAATTTGAGGAAGAAATGAATGGAGGATTAAAACCTCAAGATATGGGAGTTTAGGAGTGCTTGTTCTTTAGAAAAATGACCAAGGAAGAGTGTTTAAATAGGAGTTGAAGAAATATATCCGTTGGTCCAAGAAAAGAAGCTGTGCAGAAAAGATGCAGCATAATAATCGATTAATGCAGTGTCAGTAATCGATTAATGCATCATCCTCAGCGATTAATGCAGTCTGCGCAAAATGATAATCGATTAAGGCCAGAGCAATTAATCGATTAGAGTGCTCTAAGTAAGTTAATCGATTAACAGGAGAAAAATAATCGATTAGATCAAAGTAGCTCAACACAAAGTAAAACTCAATTAATCGATTAATCAAAAGAGTTTAATCGATTAATCAAAACAAAAACTGGGTAAATCGATTAAGGCAAGAATATTAATCGATTAGTTTTGAAATGATGCGCAAACACAAGGGGCCCAAGCCAGTTGCGATTGAGAACGGAATTGGCGTAACACTCGTTGTTTGAGACAACGGGAATCAGAGAACGCTCCTCCTCTCTTATTCAATGAATTTGAATAAGGGAGTAAAAGTGAGTCCAAAAATTATTTTGTGTGTCAAACGATGTACACAAAAAATATTTGAATAAAATATTTTTGCTTACCAAAATTATTTTATAATATCAAAATAAATATTTAATAAATGTTTGGCACACCTTTTGTGACTGACTCAATAAAACTATTTTGAACAGTTAAAAGGATTTTTCAACTGACTCCAAAAATAAATATAATTTTTATTTTAACTCTCATAAAAATAATTTTGGAGAGAAGATATTTTTGTCATCCTTACAAATGTTCCTACGACTCAAATAAATAAAAAGTCTTCGGAAATCTTCTACTCCTCCGAGTCCTCCGTTAGGCGCTCCGAACGCGTCTCGGAGTGCACCTTCTTGAACACTTCAAGGAATGGCACTTCAAGTCTTCGTGTTTGTCGTTGTAGCACTTTGATCTTGACTTGAATAAATTGTGTTTGTCAATTATCAAAACCTGTGAGTCAACACTTAACAACACAGAAAGGGTTGAACTCATGCATTCCTATATATATATATATATATATATATATATATATATATATATATATATATTGGTTCTGGTGAGAAAGAGATGTAGTGAAAGAAATAAGAATGCCTATGAACCGTTCGATGCAGCCTTCTGATGATAATACATCCGCCACTTTCTATGGGTAAATATGTATTTTCCTTTAGAAGCCATTTCTCTCTCATCCAGCGCTTCCATCCTTGCGATATCATCGTAAGTTTCCATATTCCCAAAATCATTAAAGATGTTCTTCTCACGATCTCATATCATTATGTATCAATCTTGTTTCAGGTTTATATATCCCCAAAATTGTTCTAAATACCCTAATTTCTCAATTTGGTGTTCCAATCGCTTCATTGAATGATTAGATCTCGAGGTTTGGCATTCCAATTGCTACTCATTTTGGTGTTCCAATCATTCCAGTTTTCCATATTCTTCTTCGTACATGAGTAGATGGCATGGATTTAGGTTTGAACTTTTCATCCTCTTTTTGTGTTCTAATCCTTCAATTTTCTCATTTAAAAAGACAAGATTTCAAAATTATATGCTATAATGAATTGTGTTTGTTAGTTTTCAAACTGTTATGCTTAAAGAAATTGCAACGAGGCATCATTTAAGTTTTCTTTTTGTTTTGGGTTGTATGAATTTATGATTCAGTGTGCATCAAATTACACTCATGATGCATTACTTCCATGTTTTTAAATCTTTACTTTATACAAAGTAAATTATATTAAATAGACGGAATGTAGTTTTCATTAAACAGTAATTGATGACATGATGTTGATTCTTCTTTTTTTATTGGTTCTTTATAACGCAAGATGCATAGGCTTGAATATCTTATAAATACTTTACATTTTTTACGCAAAGCAGCCCATAACGTTCATAGTGACTTGAAAGTGTTTGGGATCTTTTGTATATGACAGTAAAAAATGTGCATTATGTGCTGTAAAAGAATTGTACTAAAGAAAATAGTGCTGCACGGTGATGATGAATTTAAACACAGTAGTGATGCATTTACACCTATATGTAGTGCAAAATAAAACTCTCAAGGTAATAAGTAACAACAAGACATTGTACTAATCTAAGGTAATCTAGTGAATGTGGTATTGGTTATTTTGGTCAAAGTATTGTCCCTAAGTACATTTGATCCATGGGCATATATACAAATTAAAATTAGACCAAAGCTGACTTTTATTATAGATTTGTTCCCAGTGATATAACCAAAGGAGTGTTATTGTGTTTGTGTAAGTCTCTCTCAAGGTTAGTTGGATTGAGACAACTAGTTTTATCGACTATGCGCAACATGATGATAACTATGACATGATGTTATTGGCCATAGTATCATGCTCTATATGCATAGTGTGGTTAATTAGCTTTTTATCTCATGAGGTACAACTTCTAAATGTTGATGCAAATAATTAATAGTTATAAATGCAATGATATTCAGTAAATGCTTTTTTTTCTGTGTCTGTGATGCATTATAAATGTGGTAGATGTGCTTGTGAATCAATAAAGAGTTGGTGATTGAAGCTCAGGTGCTTATATCAACAAAAGTTCAAACTAGAACTTACACAAGTTCATCATACAAGTGGATGATTAAGAAACATCTTGTGAAGAATCGTCCTAAACAAGATCTTCCACATACTGACCTTGAAGCGAGAGACGAATATGAGGACTAAGCTTGGGCTATGAAGAAAAGAAGAAAATAGATAGATATACACCCGAGGCGAAATATGTTGTTGCATTATTTATGTCATGTTTTGCTTGACTCAACTAGATTATAAAATGGGATTGTTTATTTTTATGTTTATAGTTGTATGTTGTTTACTGTTTTTTATTGGAGATTCAGGATTTAAATTAGAAGAGAATTGTATTAATTTCTTTTTTTAGTTTAGTATTATTCAAGGTTACCCAGATGCTCTGAATTTGACGTGGTGCATTACTATTGTTGGGTAATGCATAGTGACTTTGTTATTGTGCATGTACCTAAAGTTTAAATGTTTGTTCTTCACTTGAAATGCAATGTGTGGGAGGAGAAACTATACAGTTTTCGTCTCTATGTTTATTAGGTTTTGTTCTCATGAATCTTTTCTTTTATTCTAATATTTGTTTGTTGTGTACCAAAATTTTTTTATTGTAGGGCTCTTTTTCTTCTCTTACGTGGTTACTGATAAAATTAGAATCCTAACGTGAATGAAATAGATTTCTTAAGAAGTCTAATTTTACAGTCTAAATTTTTTCTGAATTACTCCCTCCGTCCCATTTTAAATTGCATGTTTGCCTTTTTTCTCCGTCCCAAAATAAGTTGTCTTTAGTTGTTTTCGTAAACTTTTAAAAATAAAATACCTAAACTACCCCTAAAATAAGTCACTCTTCTTCACCTTATCTTCTCATTTATCATCACCCCTCCTAAAAAGTAATGTCAATTTCGGAAAATCAACTCTATTTTTTATTTTCCTTAAATATGCCCAAAAGTCAAAACAGGCGATTTAAATTGGGACGGAGGGAGTAGAAATTGATATTTTATGGTGTAGTATCGTATTCAATTTAATCTTTTCAACATTAAAATTTACTTTGCATTTGTTTACATTCTAGTTACACATTATGGGATCAAGTGTAAAGCTAAGGACTTTGGGTTCACGCTTAAAATGCATGATATACACCATTGATATGCATTACAGAGAATATAAGATGCATTTTTACTTTAGATGATGAATCTTGTTATTGTGCACTTTAAAAATAAAAATTAATAGAATAAAATTTGAATAATTTAAAAGACAAAACAAAGTGCATACATCAAAGTTCATTCACGTTAGATTATTGATTAATTATATTCAATATTAATGTCGTTGGGTAGATCCAACGAAAGATTTCCAACGACATATTATTTGTCAAAAACGGACCTATGTACAAAAAATTATACATAAAAAATAATGCACAATACAATATTAAATGATATGAAATTACCTAGCCTGTGACGTGTCTAGGTATTATTAGGGGTGTACGACATGTGAGTATTTCCCAAATTTATTATGCATTCCAATTACCAATATACCCCTCTTAATCAATTTAATCCTAATTAAATGCATTGCAATTATTACTTCCCAAATACATCACACATGGTTGGACCCCATCCCAATCACTTCATGGCCGCACGATGCATTCAATCCTAAGCCTTAAATTTATTCTTATTTCTTTCACCAAAGTTCTTTCTCACATGAACCAACCCATATATATATATATATATATATATATATATATATATAAAATAAAAACTCTCTCTCTCTACATCGGAATCCTCTCTACATGACCGGAAAACTGGCCGGAGAGGGGCAACAGCCCCCTCCGGCAAAATCCTTCCTAGCAGCTGTAAAAGGTTGCAACACTCCTCTACAACAAATTGAGCAAGGACGCCCAGTGAGCAAACACAAAGGACTCCCCTGTGTAAGCTTCACAAAAGAAGAGGTGGAAATTCTAGCTTCAAGATTCAATAGAGCACTGGTTGGGTCATTCTTCCATGGCAGACCATCACTTCCTTTTATCCGATCCCACCTTGAAAAAATTGGCTTCACAGAATTCACAGTCACGCTTCTAGATGATACCCATGTGCTGCTACACTTCACAAAGGATGAAGACTTCATGAGGTGCTTCAAGAGATATGAATGGAAACTTGGTAGCTTTGCTATGAAGATATCGAAGTGGACGCCAAACTTTGACCCAAGGTATGAATCCCCTTTACTTCCCATCTGTGTGGCTATAAAAAACCTCCCCATCCATTTGCATGATAGCAAATCCCTCCTGGATATTGCTCAAGTTTTTGGCAAGCCCATAAAACTTGATGCTACCACTGAAAATTTTGGCCGTCCTTCCCTTGCAAGAGTTTGTGTTGAGGTGGATATCTCACTGCCACAAATTACCAAATTTTGTGTGCAAAATGGAGATATCCCACTGTTTCTCAATGCCTACTATGAAAATGTTCCACATTTTTGCCATGAGTGCAGAGGTGTTGGAAGACACAATCTTGGCTGCAATTTGTTTCCATCCCCAACACCCTTAAACCAAGCTTCTGTTCAAAAAAAACCAGCTCCATCGCCCAAAAATCCAGCTCCTGTACCCAAAAATCCAGCTCCTGTATCCAAAAATTCAGCTCATCCACCTGACCGGAACTTCCTGCCGGAAAAAACTGCAGAGAGATTCCACTACAAAGCCATTAACAAAGTGACAACGGGTGGTAGCTCTCAGGTTCCCATCCATGACCCCACACCTAATAACCTCCCTCACAAAACCCAAATCACTACAATACAAATCCCCTCATCACAGCCCAGCACCTCTGTCCCTACACTGGATATAAATCCCACCCAAACTAAAACCCAAAGCACTACATTACAAACCCCAGAAAACACACCCACAACCAATATCAAACCCCAAAGTCCCCTCCAGCACCCAATAACCAAACCCCTCCCACCCAAACTAAAACCCAAAGCACTACATTACAAACCCCAGAAAACACACCCACAACCAATAATCAAGCCCCAAAGTCCCCTCCAGCACCCAATAACCAAACACCTCCCACCACGCAACTAACCCTTGAACCCAGCATTAAACCCATCACCATACCCCCTCCATTTGAAAACCTAACTGATGACCAGGATCTTGATGTTGTGTTTCACAACTTCATTTTCAAAGAATGCATCACCATTTGGAATGATCACCAAACCAAAACCATGGCAGAACCCTCACCCACCTTAATCCCCCTGGATCCCAATAAGTCTTTAGATGATTTGGACTTACATAATACATCCCATAACACCATTCAATTCCTCTCGCATGATGAACTGTCTACTGAACATTGTGCATCCCTGACTAAGCACCCACTGCAGCATACTAAACCACCACCCCCCCTACCAATCCCTGTGGAACAGAGCTCCAGCATAATACCTCCCCCCTCTCTTAGAAAATCAAAAAGGATCCAAGAAAAGTCTTCTTCAGACATTAAATCTACACCCATTCCCCAATGAACTGTCTTTTTTGGAATGCCTGTGGTGTAGCTTCTAAATCACAAAGGCTAGCACTACTCATCAATCACCAAAAGATACACATCATCACAATCCTAGAACCCAAAGCCAAACCCTCAAAACTTCAATACTACCAACTCCAGTTTGGCTTCTCTCACTCAATATCTTCTCCTGATAACAGAATGTGGATTATGTGGTCTGACCAACTTCTACAATATCTCTCCCATACCCACCTGGACCAAATCACCAACATCAATTTTACCTTAAAACACAACAACACTCCTATCCTACACTCTTCCATCTATGGCAAATACACTAAGAATGACAGAACTCCCCTCTGGAACAATATTCATCTCACTGCATGCAACACTAATACCCCCTGGATCTTAGGGGGGGATTTTAACTGCATCAGTTCTGCTGACCATCACAAGGGGAAAAGCTCTCCATGTCTCAACAGCATTGGAGATTTTGATAATTGCATCATAAACTCCTCCCTTTTGAGCCCTCCTTTCTCAGGCACCCCTTTCACATGGACTGGCATCAGATCACTTGGAAGAACCTGGAGAAGAATTGACAGGATTTTTTACAACCACTCCCTAGCCAGAACATTCAACAAAATATCCTCTGAACACCTAGCCAGAAGTGGCTCTGATCATACCCCAATAAAGCTCACACTATCCAACCCACATTACACAGGTCTAAAGCCTTTTAGATACCTTAACTGCTGGAGCAACCATCCCTCCTTTGATAGCCTCATTGCTGAACACTGGGGAAGATACACAGGTGGAGGAATGTATGGACTGTCCCAAAAATTAAAATCCCTCCAGAGTACCCTCACCAACTGGAACAAAAATACCTTTGGCAATATCTTCTCCAAAGTCAGAAATCTTGAAGAGCAACTTAAGAATGCTGAAGTCCATTTTGACAATCTTCCAACACCTGAAAGCAGAGAAGCAATGAATGAAATTAGAGCAAAATTAACACCTAAATACTGCCTTTTTTCACTCCAAAGTTAAAGAAAAAAGACATCACCAATCCATCTTGAAAATCAAAAAACAGGATGGAAAATGGACAAGCACCCAGGAGGAAACACAACTCATTTTCTACAACCACTTCCAAAACCTCTACCAACATGTTCCTACCATGCCCAATGATACTTTCATCAACAATGTTCCTACCCTCATCACCCCTGAAGATAATTTCCTCCTATCCAAACTCCCACAAGAAGATGAAGTAAAAGCAGCTGTCTGGTCCCTCAATTCAGATAGTGCAGCAGGACCAGATGGCTACAATGGGCACTTCTACAAACATTGTTGGAAATGGATTAGAGAGGATGTCACTAAGGCCACACAGGAATTTTTCCTAGGGATCAAAATGCCTAAGCAGATGGCCCTATCAACAATAATCCTCATACCTAAAAAGGAAAACCCCTCCCATTGTGAAGATTTTAGACCCATCTGTCTTTCCAATTTTGCAGCTAAAATCATTCCCAAAATCATTGCAACAAGACTAGGGATCATTTTACCCAAGCTTATCTCAATGGAACAGGGGGGTTTTGTCAAAGGAAGGTCCATCAATGAACAAGTGCTTATTGCTCATGAAATGATCCATGGCATTAACCATAACACAAGAGGAGGTAACCTAATCCTAAAGTTAGACATGTCCAAAGCTTTTGACAGGGTTTCCTGGAATTACCTAATGGCAGTAATGGATAGATTTGGCTTTGATAAAAAGTTCCAGTCACTAATTCACAACACCCTTCAAGCCACTTTACTGTCCATCTCTCTCAATGGGCATTCTACTAAACCTTTCAAAACTGGAAGGGGGCTCAAACAGGGAGACCCCCTATCCCCTCTGCTGTTCATCCTAGCAGCTGAAGGTTTCAGTAGAACACTCAATTCACACATGAACTCTGGAAAACTTGAACCTTACAGAATGGGTAGGAACCACATGCACATCCATCACCTTGCCTATGCAGAGGACCTCATTGTCTTTCTAAATGGAGGAAAGCAAAACCTAACCAGATTCACAAACTTCCTAAAAAGTTATGAGGAAACCTCTGGACAGATGGTTAACCTTCAGAAGTGCAATTTCTACAACCCCTGTAAGTCCCCCCTAAACATCTCCCTAATGCAACAGAACACCCTTAGAATGCATAAAGGAACTCTGCCATTCAAATACCTTGGGGTCCAGATTTATAGGGGGATCAACAGAAAGAACTACTGTA